TTAGTTGTAGTAAAATCAAAATAGGGCAAAGCAATAGAAATCTCCGGTCTTCCAATGAGATTTACCTACGGAAAGGATAAGTGGAGTTGAGTATCATCGTGAGGTCCACTTATTTCATTGTGAAAAAAACTTACTACCAGTCCTTAAATAACCGAGATTTACTGATCGTCGAAACCGCTTTTGGGAAACAAGGGCAGGTGAAATTCAATGTCATTGTGAGGTCTGCCATTTCATTGTGAGGAAAACTCACTATCAGAATTCAGGTCACTTTACACGACCTAAGGTAACTAAGTTCTTAAGTAATAATACTTTCATCAGGGTTTACGCTTAATTCGAACGGCCTACCCTTCTCTATCTGTTTAGGATAATATATTTGTATTTTATTCGATCGGCCTGGGTAATGTCTAATTTAAATACTTTCTAATTCGTTTAATTACAAAGTTATTTTTCAGCAATCATGAATCGATACATGATTCTGCTTTAAACTTTTGATACGTTTAGTTTTTTTTAATTATTTATATTAAACTTTCTCTGCACTGTATATGCTAAAGGAAATTAAATTTAGTCAAAAGCTCACTTGTTTTAAGTGCTCACTTAATTAATTTCATGGGAAATATTAACTATTCTCACTTCCCACCAACAAAAAGGCTTTGATTGAAGAGAAAATTGAGATTTGGTGAGTGTAAAATGGACTTAAATTCGATATTGAATAAGAACTGAAGGTTGTACAAAGTTATTATTCCCAAAATGACAGACCTCATATTGTCAATTAAGTTCATATAGCCTTGCTTCCCAAAAGGTATCCTTATCCAAGGCTAACTTTAGCTTTGACCTTGCCTACCAACGGGAGTCGAACCCGAGTAGTGCAGCGTATAATTTCAACAAGTAAGGAGTGTCAGTGAGCCAAGGGCAGAGGCGGTTTTCCAGGCCAGCCAAGCAACTCCCATAGCACATATAAATGTGATTGTTGATAAAGTAAACTCATATTTTGCCATTATAGTAAACTACACAATATATTTTAATTAAGAGTTGGCTTCGATATTATCAGTATTTCTAGAATAAGAGCGGTAATTACTACAGGTAGCACGCAATTAAGGGCCCATTTTTAATTTACATAAAGTAGACGAGAGTAGAGGCGAAATACAAGTTTGCTTTGTCACAATCACACTAACAATGTAATATGGGGGAGACCTGGCTTGCCTTGAATTTCACATATGCCTATGGCCCATTGACGCTAGTGGCAAAATAGCATAGTGGTACATGTTAAAATTATACTCTGCATTACTCAGATTCGATTATTTTTGAGGGTGCTGATGAGACCCAGGCGACTTAAAACGCTAGTTCACCATGCATTAGAATGCCTAATGGGAGACAAGACCAGCAGAAATTAAATATTTTGAGGCCTACTCGTGCCTTTTTTTTATAGAAAATTCAACTATCCTTCTTGCATCACATTATGCGGCCCAGGGTGAATACAGATTTTATTAAAGATCTTCTAATAGTATCGATATTGAGGTTTGCTTAACCATACACATCTTGTTGCCACACAATATATACCTTTGCGTATCAACCCTCTAATCATCAAGTGCACAATATCCAAATTTGCCACCATGATTCAAAATAGCACATTAAAGATAAAATAAATGTAATTACCTTACAAGAAGACTGTGGATCTCCCCATCCCTTTCTGCTAGCGATTTGAGAGTTGCACGATCACCTTGATATAGAGCTGAGAGGACAGAAAGAAGTTGTTCTCGAGAAATATTTGGCACCATTGTAACTGAGTTTCGCTGCTGCAAAATAATTTCCAAATTACAAAAGGAAAATGAGAACCAATTTAGCAAATATATCTAGGAATACATTTTGAAATAAGAAAATCGTAAATTAACCTTATTCACGGAAACTTTATATTTTGAAATTTAATTGCTGAAAGTACAGCTGAAGTGTGGCGATAACAATAGCAGGGTGATGGAAAGTGCCGATGAGTGAGACAATGATAGCATGCCTATACAGGCTTTCAAATATTGGCAACAAAAAAGTGAATGCCTTAGTTTATTTAACATAACAGTCATATAACCGACAAACCAGGATACAAGGACCCAAAAGTGAGCTTTGTTCTGTGCATGTATTCTGCATACTGTAAGATAGACCGGCCTAAGTACGAAAGTCAATGAAAGGCCTAGATACTTGCAACCATATAGACTTATGTTAGAGGATTATAGCATTACAAATACTTCTGCAAAGTAACAAACCAACCTGAACAACAAGACAATCTGGATTCCAAGCAGCGAAGACGAAGCAATGTGCTGGTAGTGGACCTTCCCTGTCAAGAAGTGTCACATCAGAGCAAAGTGGGTCGCCAATGAGACGAGAAAATGAGCACTATAAAGAAGCAAAGGCATGTGTAGAATAAAAATCAACTGATATACGAGAGCAATCGTATAAGAACTATATATGTGTTTTACGCTAAATAATTTGAACATTTCCAATGAAAAACGTTTAAAGATAATTCTTTACCTATATTTAACTAAGGTAAAAACAAGCTTTGTAAATATAAGTATATCTTAAATTAGGTTAACACATAGTAGTGCCTAATAAGCATGCCTACCTGTGTCCAATTAACGTATGAATTGCTTGCTTCAAAATGCATTAATTAAGTCGGGGAAAACTAATAGAATGCAAA